CTCCTCCCTGCGTGGCTTCTCCAGCTGATCTTTCCAGCCGGGCATCTCGACTTCTTGGATAGCAGCTCCAGTCTTCTGAGAATACAGAAGCAGAAGCCGCCAGACATCCTCCGAGGGGAGGCCGCGGATGGGGACGGTGTCCCTTCTGCCACATTCTGTTGGTTAAAGGGAATCACACAGGGCCAGCCCAGGTTTATTATGGGACAGATCTATATAAGGCCATGGATAATAGAAGGCATGATTGATTCGGGCTATCTTTAGAGATTAGTTATCACACTGTGCCTGATAAATAATTCTGTTGTAATTGTGACGCTACTCTTTAATCATTTCATTACCAAACCGTAAGCTTTCTGCGGGCAGGGCTGTCTTATCCAGGTTTGTATTTCTCAGACCTATCCCAGTGCTTGGTATTATAGTCCCTCAGTAAATGTTTTTGAGTAAAATGAATGAGTCAGTGGTGATACAAAGTTTCGTATACGCGATCTTATAATTTTTCTTATTTATAATCAAATAATAAAAATCTTACAATTTTTCTAATTTAAAATCATATTTTTCCCATTGCTTTTAAAAATTTTTGCTTAAATACTGAGTTTTCTCTTTTGGGAAAACCTTTAGTCTTTGGGAGGGCTTTGTCCTTAAAGGTAGTAAATGAGGGCTGAAATGTTCATTTTAAAATAAAAAGAATTGTGGTAATATCATTAATTTGTAATTATATTTTGTAAGGCTTGGCTTATTTTCATATTCTAGCAATTTTAATAATTAAATAGAATGTAAGAAAACATGTAAGTAAAATATGAACCAAGATAGTTCCTGGATTTTTAAATAGCCTATTTTCTCATTAGAAATGAAAATGATTCCTTTGTTGTGTTACATAGAAGCTTGTATGGAATTGTCTAGTTAGGTAATAGGTAAATATTAAGGGTTAGCCGTGTGCCTACACTGTGCCTGGTATTGTAGGAAAGATGTTGGGGGAAAATACAAGAAGCATAGAGTTCCTTTTCTTGTTGTTTACATACAACAGAAAGAATTTAGAACGTCTTACCAAAAAACACAAAGATAAATAAAGCCAAGATGAAGCTAACACAAAAATGCATGCTATCGGGAAACTACAGATTTCACCTTAATTGTTTTAGCAGCTAATGCAAAACAAGAAACCTAGCTGGTCAGTTATAATTCATACATAGTATTTGTCAGGTTGAAAAGAAACCACCTGCTTAGGGATGCACAGCTCTGTCTGATAATCAGACGAGTGAAAAAATTCCTAGCGAGGTTTCCTCATAAAGAAGGCTTTACTGAAATGAACAGTGTCCTTAATCCGCGTTTTTGGATATAGATGTTTTTTTTAAATATTCCTTGATGTAAGCCGAAGGTGTAATACCAAATTGTAACTTAATAAAAGCAAATTGAACGGGGTGTGTGTGTGTCTCAAATAGAATAGTCTAAAACTGCAATTCTCTCTCGTTCCTGGCGTGTTCTTCCCACCCTCTGGTCATCTTTTAGATCGTCCCTCAAGTAGAAATTTCTCTAGGGGACTTTTGCAGATGTCAAAGCCCCCACTTGTAGATGCTTACAGAGCCATGTACTTGTGTTCTGAAGTTTGAATCTACTCACATACAGAGGCAAATGGTAATAAAGGCCCCACATTTCAGTTCTTTATTTTGTAACTCTAGTAATTTTTGCCTGAAAAAAAAAAAATTAAAGCAGATAGACGTAAAGATTCTTCCTACCTTGCCCTTAAAATTAAAACGTCATAGGTTTCTAATTCAAGAGGGGAAGTGAGCTTGCAGTCAGCCTTCTATCTCTCTCCCAGTTCAAGTGACTGTAAGAAGATACAAAAGAGAATAAATCCCTTCATGGAAAGAGAGGAAGGGAAATGGATTGGAAGCCAACAGTGTGGAAAAGGGACAGAGCAGTTGAAAGTGTGCTGGTAATGAAAACAAGCAGATGACTGGAGCCCAGAGTCCAGAGCCTGGGGGCTGCGGGGGTGGGCGCTGCCTTCCCTGGCTCAGCCCCGCGCAGTTCGAGGCCCTCGAGGCCCGGGTGGGTAGTGAGGATGGGGGGAAATGAGAAGGTGAGCTATAACATGGGAGTCAAATTTAAAACTGGCTTGCAGACTACATCCTTGGCCAGCTCTTGCAGACTAACTGCCGATGACGACCTCGGGACAGGCTCCTCTTTAAATGAACGGAGCAAACTGCCTGGGACAGCTCAGGGACCCTAGAGTCATGGCGTGAGGCGGCCCCTGCCCCAGCTCCTTTCCCACTCCCATGCAAGGTGCTGTTCGGCAAGTCCCCACGTACAGAGCTCTCAGCTGGCCCGTTCATTTGGGGGATGGTTTTAGCTGGAAAACAGGCCCATCTACAGACGCAGAGAAAGCCTGCTACTAGAATTCCAAACCGGAGACAACCACTGGGCATTTGACATGTGAGGAAAATGAGAACATGAACGACAAAGACCGAAACAGATGATCCTGGAGGAAGTAGATCATTCAGGAAATGGAAAGGAACCTTGAAAACATTGGTTAATAGCATCTTGGAGACTTAACATTTTTGCATCCATAAAACAGACATGATGCTGTGGAGGTGAAAAAGGACAACTAGGAATTCTTAGAAATGTGAGCATGTGATTGCTGGGAAGAAAAACAGAAGGGCCGGGAGACAACAGCAAGATCTTCTAAAACAGAGGAAAATAGCGGACATAAAATAATGAAGCAACGTAAAAATAAATAGCTAACGTTTGCTGAGGCTAAGTATTTGTCAGGCACTATTTAAAACACTTCACGAATTATAATTTCTACTAATCCTCATGCGCACGTTATGAAGGGGAGACTGTCACTCTCCTCTCTTTTCAGAAGGGAGCACCACTGATGGTAGTTTGTTTAAAGTCACATGGCTGGCAGGTGGTGGCACAGGCCCAGACCCAAGCCATCTCTTCCTGAGGCCACACAGATAAAATGGCGCTCACCTGGTGGGCATGACAGTCTAGCACTGGAGGCAGACAGTGCAGAAAGGGGGTGTTGATGTTAGACAGCTTTTGTGTTTCCTCGTCTTCTAAATGCAGGTAACAGCACCTGCCTTCCTTGTGGGAGGATTACATGAACTGGCACCTGTCCCATGGCAGGCACTCAACAAATGTTCATTTTCTCTCTTCCTTTTGTTCATCCCTTTCCCCCTGACTGTAAGTGATTGTGCCTTCCTTGGTTTTTAATTCCTTGTGCTCTTCACAAAGTGTGGCACGTAACTTTAAGCTAAATAGTATGAGGGTGATACAGAATGTTGACTTGAGTCTCTAAAAGGAGGTTTTTGGAAAAAAATATATATTTTTTAAGTTTATTTATTTTGGGGAGAGAAAGAGGAGGGGAGGGGCAGGGAGAGAGAGGGAGAAACAGAATCCCAAGCAGGCTCCGTGCTGTCAGTGCGGAGTCCAATGGGGCTCGAACTCGTGGAGCTGTGAGATCACGACCTGAGCCGAAATCAAGAGTCAGACACTTAACCAACTGAGCCCCCCAGGCGCCCCAGAAAAAAATAATACGGTATTTTGAAATGGTGTAATCCTGAAACACAGCAGCCTTCACTGTCAAGGTTGAGCTATGGAGGAGGATGAGCACGAGCAGCCTCCACCTGGGATAGTTGTAAGCTCGCTGATGCTATGAGGGGAGCGCCGGTGTTTGGTTGTGGCGAGAGGCTGCGGGGAGGTGAGGGGCTAGCGGTTCGCCTTGGGTGGTGACTACGGACACAGGAATGAAAGGAGAGGAACTGGAAAGCCGGAGGATAGGGACATGAAATAGAGCCTCCCTTCTTTGCGGCCTCCCGGGGCATAGAAGGTTCTGAAAGATGTTAATAGGTTTTCCTGTTTTAGGACTTGGGGCCCAGGAATATACGTGTAATAAGCGTTGTAACGTCGTTAGTATCTCTCAAATGCAGTTGTTCTTTTTTTTTTTTTTTTAATTTTTTTTTCAACATTTATTTATTTTTGGGACAGAGAGAGATGGAGCATGAACGGGGGAGGGGCAGAGAGAGAGGGAGACACAGAATCGGAAACAGGCTCCAGGCTCTGAGCCATCAGCCCAGAGCCCGACGCGGGGCTCGAACTCCCGGACCGCGAGATCGTGACCTGGCTGAAGTCGGACGCTTAACCGACTGCGCCACCCAGGCGCCCCATCAAATGCAGTTGTTCTTAATGCCATACTTCTCCCCTCGACTTTCCTGCATGTGGTTGGGAACTGGACAGTCCGTGCAGGGTCTCTGAGGAGCCACAACAGGGGCCTAGAGTTGATATGTAGAAGCTCCCGGATAGTTCAACAAGAACTGCGCAGGCCTTCACTGAGAATCGTATGCTTTATTCGCAGTTCTATGAAGCTGATCTATCTAGCGATCTGGCAGTTAGCAGCAGCAAACTGGGAGGAGGCAGTATTGGACTGATAGTGTTTTGAGAGAACATTGGACCTAAATACCCAAAAGCACATAACAGGGGTCATTTAAGATATTATTAAATTGTTTATTCCTCCAAAGCCCCAGTGATCGTCTGTGGGCATTTTGCTAATTTGGAAATAATAATAAAAGGTTAAAAGATGCCCAGAATAACAAGACACCATTATCAGCAAATACATGAATGTTTGACCCCTAGAGGTATGAACCTCAGCTATCCGTAGATTTGTTTAAATGAACGTCCTTTGATGACGGAAAGATAAGTGAACGATTCCTGTCCTGAGCTGCTAAAAGACCTCTGAAAATTTGGCTTAAGAGGGAGGAGTCTGTCTTGTGATCTTCACTTCAGTTTTGTCTGTAAAATGGAGACACTGCCTTACTGAGGACTGAGTAAGAATAAGATGATGTACGTGCAAAGGCCCCGTAGCCCTGCAAAGTTGGGTGTAAATTTCAGGTGGTTTTTCAGTGTGCTCATTATCTTTGAAAATATTCCTCAGAGGTTTCATGCTGGTGGATTGCTTCTCTAAAATACTAATGGCCATCTCTGTAATTTCCCATTTGCTTTCCAGATTTCTGTATTCAGATGAAGTTCAAATTGGCCCAGAGACGGTTATGACCACTCTTTATACTGCTAAGAAATATGCAGTCCCAGCCTTGGAAGCACACTGTGTGGAATTTCTCACCAAACATCTTAGGGCAGATAATGCCTTTATGTTACTTACTCAGGTAAGTAAATGTAGCTAAGGTCCGTATCCTCATAACTACATGAGTATTAAGTATTTCCTAGAGAATTCTAGATTAACTTAAAGTATATGTAATTATTTTTATGGTACCATTCAGGGAAGTATATCAGATTCATATGATTTTAGAAAAACAAATTAGAGTCAATACAGTATCATGTAAGAAACTGAGGCTTTATGTAAGCAGACTACTGTGACTCAAAGTCACACGGATGTTTAGGATTGGAATTGGAATTGGGATCCAGTTTGTTCCTGCTGTGATTGAGCATGTGATAGCATAGGGTTTTCTGGACGTCTTTTGTCTCAATTTTTGTTGGATCTGGAATAAAGATTTTTGTTGGATCTGGACTTTTTAAGTCCAGATAAGTTCCAAGGTTTACTGTCTTTGTACTTAATCTGAAAGCTTGGAGGAATTAGAATTTCAGGTTTATGTGAAATGTTCTTTCTCTGATATTTAAAAGTTTCCACTAAATATAGTATACATGCAGAAAAGTACACATTATCTTAAGCACTCAGTCTGATGAATTTTTACAAACTGAACACATCTGTGGAACTATTAGCCCGTCTATATCATACTGTTTAGCATTTGTTAAACGCCTGTAATCTGAGCTTTACTTCAGATATAAATAAATCACTTGTTTTTCTTTTTAGACCAAGTTATAATACCCTTGTATGAATTGTTTAAAAAGTTCCAAGCCAGCCTATACCATGTGCTAAGGGTTGAATTGTTTCTCCAAAATTTATGTGTTGAAATCCCAGTTCCCAGAACCTCAGAATGTGATCTTATTTGGAGATAGGGTCTTTACAGAGGTAAGCAAGTTAAAATGAGGAGAAAACAATTGTAAGCTGATAATATATAATCCTGTTGACTATTAGTACTGGAACTGGTCACAGATGTCCCCTAGTTCACCTCTTTCATTTTCCAACTGGAAAACTCAAACCTGGGCCAATGGACTACCTGCCCAAAGGCTCCCAGCAGGCTGGCTGGGGCCGGGGCCCAGAGCTCGGGTTGCCCGGCACTGAGTCTGTTCTGTCATACGGAAATTGTATGATGGCACCTTTTGTTGCTGTTGTTTGTTCAGTCATCTGTCAACAAATATTTGAGGTTAGGGAAGAAAGAGCAGACCGATGTCACCTCATGGACGTAATCGCCGAACTCCATTCTGGACATGGTGCGCCAGACACTAAGCTAGTCACTTTGCGTGTATTATCACAGTTAGCCCGCATTGCAGCTCTGTGGTGCTATTTACTGTTGTCCCCATTTTAAAGCTGAAGCAATGGAAGTGTAAAGGGGTAAATATCTTACTTCACGTTAGACGGCAGGTGCTAAACCTAAGATCCCAACCTTCAACCAGTCGTTCTTAAGGTGTGGTGATACTGATAGTAAGGATGATAGCAGAATGTCTTGAGTGGTGATTGTGTATCAGGACTTTGTCTGCATTAGTTCATTTAATCTTCTACAGTAACTTGGGGAGGGGTAGGTTTTCTTACTGTCCCCACTTAACAGGTAAGGAGACAGAGGCAGAAATATGAATCAATTTGACCAAGGTCATAGAACTGTTAAGCAGCATATCCTTGCATTTCCCCCTCTTTTGAGTTTGTGATGAAAATCTATTATGGAAGTTGATATTCCTAAGATTCTTTATCGTCCAAGGGTTTTAAGGTATGTGGAGGGGATCACTTAATTACTTTTATTTTAAAAGCTTATGGAAAAATTCAGAAACCAATGAATTAAACTCTGACAATTAAAATACAGTTTCTAGTTCCGCAGGTCCAAGGTGAGACCTAAGAGTCTGCATTTCTCATGAGCTTTCAGATGATGCCAGTGCTTCTGGACCACACTTTGAGTAGTAAGGGTTAACAGCTGTCACTACGAGAAAGAAAAGGAGCTTTTCAGCGTGTGGTTGGTCTGAGAACCCAATTTTACTGCACATTTTTCACTGGTGGGGTCATGTGAATTAGCCCACGAATTGTCATGTGAAGTTCTTCTTCCTGCCAAGTGAGTCATTTGCACTGAGCATGTCAATTACTTGAGAGGACCTTTGCCAGCTTCACGCTGAAACAGGAGGCCAGTGTGCTGTACCAGCATGAGTGAGACCGGGAAGAGACGCTTGTTAGGAAGTGATATTTTTTTCAGAGATGATGCCAGACTCAAACTAAATTTTGAGAAGGATGTATTTTACCCTAAGGAGCAACAATAGATTCCCTAGGAAACTTGATATTGCCTGTGTAACTGAAGAGTAACTGAAATATTGCTGTTCTGAATAAAATAATTTTTATAAAAATTGTTTTTCTTAGAGTGAAAGATCAATTTTTGCATGAACACTGGAAATATAGTTGAGTTGGCCAGTTAAAATATCTGCCAGTTAAAATGTCTAGAATTTCATTTGATAAAAATGTGTTTTTCATATTTTAAAAATTCATTAGACTGTGATCCTAGACCGGATCCTATTCTAGCAGGAAAAGTGTTATAAAAAATTGGGTCAGTTGGCAAAACTGAAATACAGTAGATGAGATAAAAATATTGTATGGTTATTTATCAAAGTTAATTACTATGGTTATATAAGAAATATTCAAGTATTTAAGGGTAAGGGCTGTGGTGCTGTAATTTATTCTTGAATAGTTCACCTCAAATACACACACACTCACTATACATTGTCTGTTTTCTTATACATTATTTCCCCACTTATATATACATATATATGCATACATATATGGGTATATATATATAATGTGTGTGTGTGTGTGTGTGCGCGCGCGCACGCCTGTGTGTGTATAGAGAGCACAAATGATAAAGAGGTGAAATATTAGATAAATAACATTTAGATAGGTAAATCTGGGTAAAGGGTATATGGGTATTCTTTTTACTTGCATTTTTTCTGCAAATTTGAAATTATTTCTAAATTAAAAACATTTTAAGGGAAAATAACAAGGAATAGAGTTAATTTTATTCTACTAAATACAGATTTTATATTATTTTTTTGGAAAATTTTGACTAAGCAAATTAATATAAGCCCAATATATAATCTAAGAAGAACATTAAAAACAATTTTTTTTAAGTTTATTTGTTTATTTTGGGAAAGAGAGAGAGAGTGGGGAAGGGACAGAGAGAGAGAAAGAGAGAGAGAGAGAATCCCAAGCAGGCTCTGCACTGTCAGTGCAGAGCCCAACACGGGGCTTGAACCCATGAACTACGAGATGACGACCGGTGCCAAAATCAAGAATCCGATGCTTAACTGACTGAGCCACCCAAGGGCCTCAAGAAGAGCATTTTCAGACATGTTTGAGTATTGCATAATTTTAAGAAATGTTCTACTGACTTAAAAATATATGCATATTTTATACATGTAAGTACAGTTACATATCATCTGTAATGTGTGTATCTATTTTAAATTCATTCCAGTGTGTTTATTGCTGTCTTTTCTCCCCCATAAAACACAAGATAACTCTTTAGTTTAGGGATGTTTGTTAACGTGATAGGTCAGTAGCACCTGAGTTATTGAATCCTTTGAAAATGAATTTTACTTTACAAATAAGAGTCATCAGCCATGCCAAATAATGGTTAATTAATTGCATTATTGCCAGCATGAGTACCTGTGTGCGTCTCGTTTGTCCATACTGTTAAATGTAAATGGACCTGATACTAGGCCAGAATGAAAGCTTGGTCCCTGGCACACCTATCATCACATCTGTTTTCAGTGTTACAGTTTTTTAAGTCTCATTTGAGTTTGGATCCTCCCACCCCTTCCCCGATGCCTGGCTTTTAAACTTGGGTTGTTTTTTTTTTTTTTTTTAATTATAATACACATCCTGATTAATCACGTATTATAAGCTTGGCTTCTGAATTCTTAAAGCCGAGATTAGCTTTATTGGAATCATACAGTATATATTTTTTTGCTCAGTTTATACTATGGCTTCTTTTGTTTGTCATTGTGTTTGTGGGTTTCACTCATATTATTGTATGTAGTTGTAGATCATCCTCACTGTCGTATAAGATTGTCGTGTGTCTATTATTTGCTTTTCAGTTGTTGTCCTGCTGTTTGCTTAGGTTCCCAGAGCTTTCGTGCTCTGAAATTCCTGTACTTCATTCTCTCCCCACATCAAGACAGAAAATGGAAGAAAATAAATCTGATCTGTTTGTACTGTATGCTTGACAATTGATATAACTTAGTGACAGTATCCTATAACTCGGATTTAATAATGACTCTGCAGCATGACTAGCCAGATCCTATTAGGCAAGTCAGCACACCTTTCTAAGCCTGTTTCCACATCTGGAAAATGGGATAATCATGTCTGCCTTATCTAACCTACAGCGTTTGTTAAGGATCAAAATAAGTAATGTATAAGAAACCAGGCAGTGTGTGTATATGAGCAGATGGAAAGGAAAATAACAGGTCATCAGTGTGTATTTGTTATCTAAGCAGAGCATTTGTGCTCTTAGCTTTTCATTTCTGATTGTGGAAGGGAAACTTTTAAGAATATATACACATTATAATGGTATTTTAAGTTGGTGTTTTTACATAATTACCAATTGTAACTACAGCATTAACTGAATACGTACTGTCTAAAAGTAAGATAACTATGAGAATAAAATAACTGTCTCTCTGTATGTTTAGGCCCGATTATTTGATGAACCTCAGTTGGCTAGTCTCTGCCTGGACACGATAGACAAAAGCACGATGGATGCGATAAGTGCAGAGGGCTTTACTGATATCGATATAGGTGAGTCCTCCAGGATTCCAACTGTGCCGTTTATTTAATTTACTTTTGTAATGTTTATTTTTGAGAGAGAGAGAGCTAGCAGGGGAGAGGAGAGAGAGGTGGGGACAGAGGATCTGAAGCAGACAGCCCGATGTGGGGCTCGAACTTGCAAACCGTGAGATCATGACCTGAGCTGAAGGCATATGTTCAACCGACCGAGCCCCCCAGGTGCCCCCAGATCATATGGTTTAAATACAGTAACACCTTAACAGTCACCCTTTCTGGTGAACGGGCTGTTTTTAAAATAGTGGTTTTTCCAAATTAAATAAGTCTACATTTAAAAATTTTTGCTTTCTTTATTTTGGTGATAAATTCTACGTTATCACCTTTTACAAAATGTCAAATCAAATAAATATTCACTGGGGTGCCTGTGTGGCTGGCTCAGTGGTTGAGTGGGACTGTGTGTCGTTGGTGCAGAGCCCACTTCTGATCCTCTGTCCCCCTCTCTCTCTGACCCTTCCCCCCTCAACAAAAATAAACATTCAAAAATAAATAAATAAATATTCACCGAATGCACCATGTGCACAGCATTATAGTAGGATCATTTCAGAAAAACAAAGAAGAGGGGCGCCTGGGTGGCTCAGTCAGTTGAGCATCTGACTCTTGATTTCAGCTCAGGTCATGCTCTCATGGTTTGTGGTTCAAGCCCCACATTGGGCTCCACACTGTCGGTGGAGCCTGCTTGGGATCCTCTCTTTCCCTCTCTCTGCTCCCCCCCAGCTCCCCGCCCAATCAGTCAGTCAATCAATCAGTAAACGAACATTGTTTTACATGTTTATTTATTTTTGAGAGGGAGAGAGACAGAGTACAGGTGGGGGAGGGCAGAGAGAGAGGGAGACAACAGAATCCGAAACAGGCTCCAGGCTCTGAGCTGTCAGCACAGAGCCCATTGTGGGGCTTGAACTCACCAACTGTAAGATCATGACCTGAGCTGAAATTGGACACTTAACCGACTAAGCCACCCAAGAGCCCCAACAAGCACTTTTAAAAATTATTTTAAAAAAATACGAAGAGGAGTAAGATGTGATTTTTCTTAAGGAAACTATGATCTAATTGGGGAATCAAGGAACAAGCATGTAAAAATTAAGATTTAATAGAAAAATCTGGATAACATACAGTAAAATGTGATTTTTACCTTTTCTAAGCTACACATATAGAAAGTAATTACTCTTCAAATCCAAAATATGGCGGGATTACCTCAAATTGAGTAGTGTTATGAAAGTCTTGACAGGAGATTCTGCCATGGGCCCTAAAGAATGGGTAGTATTTGGGGAGTGAAGAGAGGGCGACATTCGAAGCAGGTGGAGCCCCATGAGGAAGTGTGTGTGAGATCGAGGCAGGGTAAACCAGGTTGTACATTAAATACATTTGGTGTATCCTGTTATAACCACATCCCGTCTGATGAGGCTGGGGAGTCTGAATGTTGTTATTGCAGGAGAGGAGACAGCTAATCTAGGCCTATGGCTTTAAATATTCTCTTCATCATGATGAACATAAAATATATATTAGTTATCTGTTGTGTATTATTATGTTATTATCTGTCTTGCCAGTAGACAGGAAAAAGTATGGGCAGGGAAAACACCCACATTTTAAAAGCTTTGGCCTCGGTATGGCACCCTCATCTTGGTTCTTACTTCATTGTCTAGGATTCAGTAACATTATCCCACTTAAATTCAGAGGAAGCTAGGAGCTACAAGTCACATCTCAAGAAGAGGAGAAAACAGATGTTTTGTAAACAGCCAGTACTCACTGCCTGTCTCTGTCTGTACCTGACCTTGTCTTCTCTCACTCTCCCCATTATTCACTGTGTTTCATAAACACTAGCCAGGGTTATTTCTATTTTAAGCCTTTGTGTTTACTATTCCCACGAATTGGAATCCTTTTGCCTTGAATCTGTATGTGGCTTCCTCCTTTTAATCATTCTGATACCAAGTTAGATGAGACCTGAGAGAGGCTGTCCCAGACCTTAGTCAAAGTAGATACCATGTTCCCCTAAACAATCCTTTTCTGTTACTCTGATTTATTTTATCCACAGTAGGTTTCACTATCTGAAATTCTTAAGTAGGTATTTTTGTATGTGTCTGTGTATTTGTCTGTGTACGTTTATGATGGTTATCTACCTTCCCCAGCTAGATTGTAATCTTTTTTTTTCTTTTAAGATTTTATTTCTCAGTAATCTCTACACCCAGCATGGGGCTTGAATTTAAAACCCCGAGATCAAGAATCACGTGCTTTACCAACTGAACCAGCCAGGCACCCTGATTGTAAACTCTTTGAAGGCAGGGACTTTGTTGGGTTACCACTGTATTTGTAACACTAAAGACAGTAGAACATAGTACCTGTTCAGTTAGTATTTGTTGACCAACTGGACTGTGTCTAGAATGTTTCCTTTCCTTCCCACCTTGGCTAGTTCTCACTCATCCTTTTTTTTTTTTTTCATGTTTATTTATTTTGAGAGAGAGAGAGACAGAGCATGAGCAGGGGAGGGACCGAGAGACAGGAAGAGAGAGAAGCAGGCTCCGCGTTGTCAGTGTAGAGCCGAATGGGGCTCGAACTCACTAACTGTGAGATTATGACCTGAGCTGAAATCAAGAGCCGGACACTTAACCAATTGAGGCACCCAGGTGCCCCTACTTCTCACTCATTTTTAATGTCTTGGCTAAAATTATACTTCTGCAGTGACTTCTTTCTTAAGAATTGACACCCTGCCCTCCTCCATGACATTTAGTGTATTCTGTTATAACCACATCCCATTGTGAGTTTGTCTGTCTATTGCACTGTACCTCGGGAAGGATGTACAATCATCTTGCATTAATTATCCTGAAGGGCAGGGGCTAGATTGGGTCCTCCCCACTATACATAATATCCACTGACTGGATGTTTGAGAGCCCCAGGCACTGCTCACATTGCTGGGACACATTGCTTAATCCTAATTTTCTTCCCCTAGGGGGTTGTCACTCCATTTGTAATTCAGTTTATGTTTGAAATAGCATTGCTTGCATCTGAGCGACTTGTCCTGGAAGTTGTTTTGTAAATAGCTCCTATGTTAGGCGTGCCATTGGAGCCTGGGGGTCTTGAAGTAGGTGCCTTGTGCAGTGTAAATACTTGAAATATTTGTTGATTTGATTTGATTCACCATTGCTTATATTAAAATCTAGTCTTGCATTACGTGTACAAAACATAATCTTAGCTGTTTTTATGATCTTTACTGGGCTCTCAGCTGTAATTTCTTACTGTAACATATCTGCCAATAGAAGACCTGTGTGTTTCCATACCATAGTCCAGTTTGCTTCAAGTGTACTTGTTAAAAATTGGGATGAAAGAGAAGTCTAGGAGCTGAGAGAAAGAAGGTTGGGCCATGCTTCAGGAGCTTTTTTTTTTTAAATGTGTGTTTGTTTGCTTATTTAAAGAGAGAGCTCACAGTAGGGTCAGAGAGAGGGAGAGAGAATCCCAAGCAGGTTCCACATTGTTAGCACAGAGCCTGACGCAGGGCTTGAGCTCACAAACCATGAGATGATGACCTGAACTGAAATCAAGAGTCAGATGCTCAACTGACTGAGCCACCCAGAACACCCCAGGAGCTCTTTTTATAGTTTTAGATTCTAGAGAAGCTTTTTCTCCTCTGGGATTTGAATATACGTTCTGGAGGCATGTGCTTCCTCCAGAGAGATGCTGTTTCTCTCTTAGAGCTTTTTGCTAAAGGAAGAAGGTACTGTGTCACATTGATAGAAAAAAGCAAATTTACATTATGCCAAGGCCAGTATAATGTGCTTTTTCCCCTGCTGATATGTTAAGGTTCTTTGTTTATCTTTACTGAAGTTTATTAGCATACAAAGTAGAGATATGTGGATCCAAAGTTGTCTGTTTTCCCACTGAATGATTAATTTTGGTCAGTGTATATTCCTAATCCTACAGAATATTGAGGTATATTGGTTTACATTCATTTACCTGTGGAAAAGCTTTATGGAACCGTACTCTGTATTCATCTGCTCAGCTACCAGAGAAGGAAAAACTTGATTTAAAAAAAAAATTATGTATAACCTACTCATTTTTAACATAATGTTGAGCCCCTGTGCTGACACCTGCTCGAATGATAGCTGTGGTTCAATACTGACCAGATGTTTGGATGTAGTATGAATGTGTAGACCATTACGGAATCGAATTTCTTTTCAATAAATTTTTCTTAGATGTGTATTACTGGGTAATTTAAGCATAGTGAATATATGTGAGTACGGCATCCTCGTTTTTATTTGAATCCTGTGATGATTAAGTGTTGTTATTATGAGTATCAGTTATTGTATTAGCGAAGCCCTCAGGCCTCTGATGTGTTTTTTGTTTGTCTTGGGTTTTCAGTCTTCCTCTTCAGAAAGACTCTTTGGACTGTGATGCTTTTCAAGCACTTCCATCTACTTGTCACACATTCCTTCTCTCCTCTGTCTCTGTTTGGGTGCAGCCTGTCGTTTTGTTCTGGTCTGTTGGCCTCTATGGCCTGTCTCTGGACTTCCTGCTTTTGGTCTACTATAGAAAAGCTGAGCGGATTCGAGTTTTGCCTCTGATTAAAGGAGAAAGGTTCTGAGTGAGGGCCTGAGTTCTGGGCAGGACGTTTATGCTTGGACGTCAGATAGGGATTTCACACTTCACATGTCCCAAACGAAACTCCAGATCCCCCTCTCACCATCCCCCAAGGCCGCCTCTGTAGGCTTTCCCATCTCAGTTGATGCCACTGTTGTCTGTCCGTTGCTTAGATTATAAACCCGGGAATTACCCTTGACTCCTATCACCCCCAGTATTCAGTCTGTTAGGACATCACACTGAGTCCTCCTTCAGAGTATATCCTGAATCTGATGGTTTCTCACCACTTCCTCCTGGTCCAGGCCGTCATCACCTCTGATGTGGATCAGAGCAGGAGCCTTCTAACTGATCTCATTTCCACTCTGACCTCCACTAGAGTCTCCTCTCAACATGGCTGCCAGCGTGATCCTTCTAGAACATAAAATGTCACAGCTCAGAATCCTCCAGGGGTTCGTTCTCCTTTGTACTCAGAGTAAAAGCCAGATGAGTGACAGGGTACTATAAGATTGTACCCCATTTCCCTCCATTTCTGGCCTCCTCGCCTACCTCTTTTCCCTCTTGCCCACTGCAGTCTAGCCACACTGGCCTCCTGGCTTGGTCCTCACACATGCCAGGCACACTGATGGGAGAGCCGTCACACTGGACATCCCGAACACTTTTGGCTAGGCCTCTGGCTGACTCCCCCATACCCCCCGTCAAGTCTTGGCTCAGACGAGCTGCCCAAGCTGTCCTGTTTTTATTTATTTATTTATTTAAAAACAATTTTTTTTTTTTAATGTTTATTTTTGAGAGGGACAGAGACAGAATGCAAGTGGGTTGGGGCAGAGAGAGAGGGAGACGCAGAAGCAGAAGCAGGCTCCAGGCTCTGAGCTGTCAGCACAGATCCCGACGTGGGGCTCGAACTCATGAGCCGTGAGATCATGACCTGAGCTGAAGTTGGATGCTCAACCGACTGAGCCATCCAAGTGCCCCAAAGCCATCCTGTTTTAAACTGCACTTAGGATTCCTCTCACCCTACGGTCTGTCCTACACTTAGCATCTAACTTGTTAAATCTATTTATGTTTAATGTTAACCCCCACTAGAATGTAAGCTCCATAAAGGCAAGGGATTTATTTTTAACTTTTTATTCAGTGATGTATCCTTAGCGTCTAGAACAGTGCCAGACACACAGTGAGTGCTTAATAAGGAATATTTGGGGAACGAATGAATGGTTATCTGTAGTCTTTATAGATTTATGTATGTCACTAATTTGAAGCCCTTTTCTCAGACTTACAATTAATCTTACTCTGGGTATTTGAGTTTGCTTAATAAATGGCACAAATATACAAGGAGATACTGTACCTAAGCTTCCACGTATGGTAAAGAAAAAGTTGAATATTAACTTCATAGCAATTATTTAAACTCTTTTTTTTAATAAAATTTTTAACGTTTATTTTTGAGAGGAAGCGAGAGCACATGAGCGAGGGAGGGCCAAAGAGAGAGGGAGACACAGAATCTGAAGCAGGCTCCAGGCTCTGAGCTGTCAACATAGAGCACAACGTGGGGCTTGAACTCACAAACTGTGAGATCATGACCTGAGCTGAGGTCGGATGCTTACCTGACTGAGCCACCCAGATGTCCCCTAAACTCTGTTTTGTTTTGTTTTTTAATGTTTATTTTGAGAGAGAGAGAGAAAGACAAGTACGTGAGCAGGGGAGAGGCAGAGGGAGGGAAAAAGAGAGAATCCCAAGCAGGCTCTGTGCTGTCAGTGCAGAGCCCGACATGGGACTTGATCTCATGAACCGTGAGGTCATGACCTGAGCTGATATCAAGAGTCAGAAGCTTAACCAAATGAGCCACCCAGGCACCACACTTTATAGCACTGTTTTAAAGAAAACTTTGCTGTTTAATTGTTTTCATTCTTTAATATTTTTAAGTATAGGGGCTGTAGTTTTAAGTATCTAATCTCCTTTTTTAATTGAGATTTGAAAACTTAATGTAAGTCTGTTTGTTGGTGTTTTGTTAAAGATCAAAATATTCCTAATTTGATTTATTCTTGTATTTTCCCTGTAGACACACTCTGTGCCGTTCTGGAAAGAGACACACTTAGTATTAGAGAGAGTCGACTTTTTGGAGCCGTTGTACGATGGGCAGAAGCGGAATGTCAAAGACAACAATTGCCTGTGACTTTTGGAAACAAACAGAAAGTTCTAGGGAAAGCACTGTCCTTGATCCGGTTTCCACTGATGACCATTGAAGAGTTTGCAGCAGGTAGGGCTATAACTTGACCAAAATCTGTGTGAAACTATGCCAACAGGCAGTCAGCCAGCCTCCCTGTGCAAAAGAGGGAAAGAAGCTGGTACTTACTGAGCTCTAGTCACATGACACATGGAGGTGTGTGTAATTTCCTTTACTTCTGGTAGCCCTTCAAGATAACATTGTAAGTTAGTTTTTTTTTTTGATATGTGCACTAGGTTCTTCTTTTTTGGGTGGGGACTGTAGTGTGCACAAGTGTTACGTTAGTCTCTGGGGTACAGGTGGTGATTCTGTTCTACGGGGCTGTATGCTCACCGCAAGTGTAGCCGCCCGTCACCACCTAAGACTACTACGGTGTCATGGACTATATTCCCTGTGCTGTTACTTTTTATTCCCATGATTTGTTCATCCCATAACTGACGGCCTGGGCCTCCAACTCTCCTTCAGCCGTTTACCCCATCCTCCCACCCCTTTCCCCCTGGTAACCATCAGTGTGTTCTCTGTAGTTTCTTGGTTTGCCTCTCTCTTCTCACCCTTATGATCATCCGTTTCCTAAATTCCACATATGAGTGAAACGATATATTTATCTTTCTCTGACTGACGAACTTCACTTAGCATTATACTCTTTAGCTCCACCCATGTTATTGCAAATGGTAAGATTGCATTCATTTTTATGACTGAGTAATATTCCATTGTGTGTGTGTGTGTGTGTGTGTGTGTGTGTGTGTGTGTGTGTACACATACATATGCACCACATCTCTTTCATCCATTCATCAATTGATGGACACTTGGGCTGTTTCCATATCTTGGCTATTGTAGGTAATGCTGCTATACACATAGGGGTGCATGAATCCCTTTGAATTAGAGTCTTTGTATTCTTTGAGTAAATACCTAGTAGTGTGATTGCTGGATCGTAGGGTAGTTCTATTTTTAACTTTTTGAGGATCCTCCATACTGTTTTCCATAGTGGCCGCCCCAGTTTGCATTCCCATCAACAGTGCAAGAGGATTCCTTTTTCTCCACATTTTTGCCAACACCTGTTATTTCTTGTGTTGTTGATTTTAGCCATTCTGGTGATATCTCGTAGTTTTGATTTGCATCTCCCTGATGATGAGTGATGTTGAGCCTCTTCATGTGTCTCTTGGCCATCTCTGTGTCTTCTTTAGAGAAATGTCTGTTCATGTCTTCTGTGTTTTAAACTTAATATAAAGGAAATCATACATACAGTATGTGCTCTTTTGTATATGGCTTTTTCTTTTTTTAAAGTTTATCTTTAAGAGAGAGTGTGTAAGTGAGTGGGGGAGGGGCAGAGAGAGAGGGAGGGAGAGAGAATTCCAAGCAGGCTCTGTGCTGACTGATGTGGAGCTCCAGCTCACCCACTGTGAGATCATGAATTGAGCCGAAATCAAGAGTTGGATGCTTAACCGACTGAGCCACCCAGGCACCCCTGGCTTTTTTCTCTTAACGTTATGTCTGTTAGATTCATCCTTGAGGTAGTGTTTTCACTGTTGTATAATCTGCCATAGGAATGTGCCATGATTTATTTATGCATTTTACTGTTGTTGAACATTTGGGTTGTTTCTCTTTGGTGGCCATTAAGAACATTCTTGTACATGTCACTTAGGAGACATATGTAAACATTTCCGTTGCATGCCAAATCTTGCCATTTGCACCTACGTGGATGGAACTGGAGGGTATTATGCTAAGTGAAATTAGTCAGAAAAAGACAAATATCATATGACTGCACTCATATGAGGACTTTAAGAGACAAAATAGATGAACATATAAGGGAAGGGAAACAAAAATAATATATATAAAAACAGGGAGGGGGACAAAACAGAAGAGACTCATAAATATGGAGAACAAACTGAAGGTTACTGAAGGGGGTGTGGGAGGGGGGATGGGCTAAATGGGGAAGGGGCACTAAGGAATCTACTGAAATCATTATTTCACTATATGCTAACTAATTTGGATGTAAATTTTAAGAAATAAAAAATAAAATTAAAAAAAAAAGTTAAGGTTAAAGTTCATTTTTTTCCCTATCAAGCCATATATTAAAAAACTATCTTTGCCTCGCATACATTGCAGGGCCAACTTTGTTGTAAATCAGGTGACTTTGTGTGAATGAATCTGTTTCTGGAGTGTCTGTATTCTGTTCCACTGTTACATTTGTTTATTCTTGTACCAATCCTGCATAGTTTTAGTTCTATAGTTTTACACCAAATCTTGAAATCTGATAGTGAAAACTCCCCAGCTTTGTTCTTCTTCAAGATTATCTTGGCTATTTTTGGTCTTTTGCATTTTCATATTAATGTATTTTTTAAAGTTTATTTATTTTTTGAGAGAGAAGGAAAGAGAATCCCAGGCAGGCTCCACACTGGCAGCACAGAGCCTGCCTGACGCGGGGCTCAAACCCACAAACCATGAGATCATGACCTGAGCTGAAACCAAGAATCGGATGCTTAACAGACTGACCTACCCAGGTGCCCCACATACAAGTAAATTTTTTAATCACCTTGTCAATTTCTACCTCTCCCCTGCACCCCCCACCCCGCAAATTATCATATTTTGATTGGAACTTAGATTGGTGTGGGGATAAATGACGTTTTTGTAATATTGAGTCTTTCAATCCATCAACATTTATCTAAGTCTTTTAAAATCTCTTTTAGTAATATTTTGAGTTTTCTGGTAGAGGTCTTGTGTGCTTTTTGGGAGGTTTATTCTAACCTAGATACTTTTTTTTTTTTTTTAAATTATTTTTTTAAATGTTTTTGAGAGAGAGAGACAGAGCACGAGTTGGGGAGGGTCAGAGAGAGAGGGAGACACAGAATTTGAAGCAGGCTCCAGGCTCCGAGCTGTCAGCACAGAGCCCGATGCGGGGCTCAAACCCACAAGCCGTGACATCATGACCTGAGCTGAAGTCGGACGTTTAACCAACTGAGCCACCCAGTCGCCCCTAGATATTTCTTTTTTTGTTTTTGTTTTTGTTTTTGTTTTTACAGAGAGAGACAGAGCATGAGCAGGGGAGGGGCAGAGAGAGAGGGAGACGCAGAATCCGAAGCAGGCTCCAGGCTCTGAGCTGTCAGCACAGAGCCTGATGCGGAGCTCAAACTCATAGACTGTGAGACCGTGACCTGAGCTGAAGTTGGACGTTTAACCGACTGAGCCACCCAGGCGCCCCTAGATATTTCATTTTTTATTTTTATTTTTAAAAAAAATTTTTTTTTTCAACGTTTATTTATTTTGGGGACAGAGAGAGACAGAGCATGAACGGGGGAGGGGCAGAGAGAGAGGGAGACACAGAATCGGAAACAGGCTCCAGGCTCTGAGCCATCAGCCCAGAGCCCGACGCGGGGCTCGAACCCACGGAGCGCGAGATCGTGACCTGGCTGAAGTCGGACGCTTAACCGACTGCGCCACCCAGGCGCCCCATCATTTTTTAAATGCTACTGTAAATGATTGTCTTTAAAATTTCCATGTTATAATCAATTGTTCACTGATAGAAATACAGTTGATTTTTCTATATTGACCTTGTATCTAGTGAACTTGCTAAATTCACTGATTCTAATAATTTATTTGTAGATCACTGTACATAGTCTACATGTACAATCATGCCACTGCAAACAGTAATAATTCTACTTCTTCCTGTCTAATCCTTAGACATTTTATTTCTTTTTCCTGCTTTATTATGTGGTCTAGGACCTCTGGCATATTAGTGAATAGCAGTGCTGGTAGTGAACATCTCGTCTCATTCCAGTGTTACACACAAAGCTTTACTATTTCCCCAGAGTAGGCTTGCTGTAAATGTTTTGTAGGTGCCTCGTATTGGATTAAGCAAGTTTCCCTCTGTTACTAGTCTGCTAAGAGTTTTATAATGAATTTTATCAAATACTTCTCTTCATCTTGTCATGATACAGTGGTTTTCCCCTTTATTTTCTCTTTCTTATTTGTAATTGGCCTTACTAAGCGGTTCATATATTGGGCAGCATCCCATCTCGCAAGTAGAGAGATGCTCCTTGCTTTATTTTCTTAACTTGGTGAACTAGACTGATTTTCCAAATTAAACCTATTTTGGATTTCTTATGTAAGGTAGACTTAGTTGTCACGCTTTATCCTATGTTACCAGATCCAATTTGCTAAATTTTAAAATATTTTTATGACTATTTCATGAGAGAAATTAGTCTATAATTTTCCTTTCTTGTAATTGTCAGATGTGGATTACCAAATTTATGCTGGTTTCATCCAAAACTTAATAAATGCTTGTTTTTTTCAGTGTTGAAAAGATTGTGTAAGATTGGTGTTGTTTTTTTTCCTTAAATGTTTAGGAAAATTTGCCAGTGAAGTTATCTGGATCCAGAGTTTACTTTATGGAACATTTTTAATAGATCTTTTTTTTTTTTTTTTTAATTTTTTAAAGTAATCTCTACATCCAACATGGGGCTCAAACTCACAACCCCAAGACCAAGAGTTGCACACTACTGAGTGAGCCAGGTGCCCCTGTGGAAGGTTTTTAATTAGAGATTCAATTTCTTAGATAGAGTAGCATAGCACTATTTCTTTTTGTAACCGTTGCCTCTAGCCTTTTAATTTTTTTAACATGAATGTTACAATATCCTTTTATTATCTCTACATCTGTGGAGTCTAAATTGTGTCCCTATATTCATTTCTTTCCTTTTTTTTTTTTTTTAAGTTTATTTATTTTAGAGCGAGCACAAGAGCAAGCGGCAGAGGGGCAGAGGGAGAGAGAGAGAATCCCAAGCAGGCTCCACACCGTCAGCCTGGAGCCCAAGTGGGCTCAAACTCAGGACCAGTGAGATCATGACCTGAGGCGAAATCAAGAGTTGGTTTCTTAACAGACTGAGCCCTTAGCCGCCCCTCCCATACTCATTTCTGATATTGGTAGATTGTATCTTCTTTGATCAGCCTTGCCTAGTGGTTTATACATTTAATTAATTTTTTCTAAGAACCGACTTCTGGCTTTATTAATATTTTCTATTGTATGTATGTTTTCCATTCCATTAACTTCTGCTTTTTTATTATTTCCTTCATTTGATTTTAGTTTGCTAGGGATTATTTTGTCGGTCTTTGTGGGTTTTTTTTCCTTTCTTTCTTTTTTTTATTGAATGTTTATTTTTATCTTTGAGAGAGAAAGATGGACAGAGTGCAAGCAAGGGAGGGGCAGAGAGAGAGAGACACAGAATCCAAAGCTGAGCTGTCAGCACAGAGCCCAGTGCAGGGCTCGAATCACCGACCGCGAGATCATGACCTGAGCCGACATCAGACGCTTACCGACTGGGCCACCCAGGTGCCCTTCACTTCACAAGTTTAGATACGTATTTTCATTATCATTCGATAAAAAATACTCTCTCGTTTTCATGGTGATTTTTCTTTATGACCCATGATATCAGCCAAATTTTCAAATATTTGGGGACTTCTCCCCCCAGCATTTTAAGACCCCTGAAATTTCTGTTAAATCTTTAGTTTCTTAGCAGTTTCTTTCTGCTTGGTTTCTTGGTCTCATAATTTTCCCTTGCTTATCATAGCTTAGGAATCAGCAAACACTTCCTGGAGAAATTGTGCAGAAAATGTTGGTCTTACCTCTCTTACCCCCTTTCTGCAGCATTGTTGTCTGGCTGCTTTGGTAGCTTTAAATTCCAGTGTTTGTCTCCTCAGTCCAGTGAGGATTACATGATTTCTAGGTTGCCTGTTTCTGTTTGGCATTTATGCCCTGTGAAGCCGATTAGCAAATATCCCAAGGGGAAGAAATAGTGACAAATATATGGCTTCATCTCAACACATTTCCCTTCTCAAACACTGACCGCCTCAGCTGTTGTCAACTTAAAAATAGCTATTTTATGTATTTCATCCATAGTTGTTCTGTGATGTAGATGATTCCATCCTACAGACCACACTCCTTAGTATTTTTATGTAGTCAAATAATGTTTCTTTTGTTATTAGGCATATTCTTTTCCCTATGTTACCTCTGTATTGTGCTTTTAAAAATGTTTTTATGAAGAATTCCCTTTATCTATTTTGCTGTTGAGTATGTTTGCTTTTTTTTTTTCCCTGTCTAGATTTGGAAATTAGAAATTCTGTGTTTATTTTTCCCCCCTCAGTTTTCTTAATTCTCCATTTCACAATAAAACAATACTTACTGCTCATCCCTATTGGAGATAAGAAAGTTACAGTGGTGTGTTATTCCTTTCAACCTTTGCAGACCACTCGGTGACTGGTCACACACACACACACAACACGTTACGGTGACACAACTGTGGTGGGCCTGGTTCTAGGTCATACTAGGTCGTATCTGATTACTTTCTTGCAGTAGGTATATGGCTCATATCTGAGAACAGTTTCCTGATCCGAAGACTTCTTTTTTCAACTAAGGAAGTTTTATTATAGTTTTGAATTATTACATCATCTTTTTATTTTAATTTTCTTTTTAATGTTTGTTTATTCTTGAGTGAGCGTGAGTGGGGGAGGGGCAGAGAGAGGGAGACACAGAATCCAAAACAGGCTCCAGGCTCCGAGCTGTCAGCGCAGAGCCCGACGCGGGGCTCAAACCCACGGACCGCGAGACCATGACCCGAGCCCAAGTTGGATGTTTAACTGAGTGAGCCACCCAGGCGCCCCTGCGTCCTATTTCTTATTATTCGTTCTTCAGGAACACTTGTGATCTGTATGTGTGTCCCTGCTTTTTATCGTTTTTACTCACCTGGAACATTTTAATTCTTTTGTGTTATGTTAGTCCTCGTCATTCTGAGAAAGTCACATGGGTTCATCCCCATCTCTGTTGATATTAGCACTCCCAGTTCTGTTCTTTTTACTAAAATGCAGGTTTTAAGTTTTTAGTTTTTTTTTTTTTTTTTTTTTTTTTTTTCCCTTTTTTACACTCTTTCCTCATCCAGAGGCTGCAAATCACTGTTGGGGCCAGGTCTGGCAGGTTGATAGATTGATCTAATGTTTAAAATCGGGGGTTTTTACAGTACTGTCTGAATTTAGGACTTCTAAACCAAATTTCTAGTGTTGTGCAGTCTCTTATTTAGATTGCTTTTACCAGTCTTGTAAGGGGTCTGGCTTCTTTTTATTAGGAGTGGCATTTATTCCTGGATAAGTTTAAACTGAACGGGCTTTTTCAGAAGCAGTGAATGGGAACACTGTAACATACGTGACGTGCTGCTTGCACAGCTCATCCAGTCCTAGCTTCTGCCCTCTGCTTTCTGAACGCCGGAAGCAAGCACCCTCCCATGTATTTCCCCCTCTAGGTGGGGGGTAGAGAGGTAGCGAGAGCTCTGGCTACCACGTGAGCATTGCCCCCGTAGGGAATGACTCTTCTTCCTGGTGAACAGGTGTCTGTGGTGCACAGAGGGGGTGGGTGGATAGAAAAATCCAGAGATCCTTCTGTGATTTCAGGGTTTCATCTAAGCTTTGATTTATTTACTAATGGTTTTCACACTTAGGACCTATTAGGTTAACTTCAAATGGATTTTGAAATCCTTACAATTAAATACATGCTCAAAATTTTCTGCCTCATTGTTACTTTACCTCTTCCGGATTTGAATTCACTTCGTTTGGAGTGTTACAAAGTTAGGGATTGAAATCCAGTCGCTTTTACTAAGGTCAGATTTTTATTTCTGCAGGTCCTGCCCAGTCCGGAATTTTGTCAGATCGGGAGGTGGTAAATCTCTTTCTCCATTTTACGGTCAACCCCAAGCCCCGAGTGGAATACATCGACCGGCCCAGGTGCTGCCTGCGAGGAAAGGAGTGCTGTATCCGTAGGTTCCAGCAAGTGGAGAGCCGCTGGGGCTACAGCGGCACGAGCGACCGAATCAGGTGTCTGTCGCGTTGCAGGCGCGGGGGTGACATGGGGCCGCACCTAGCATTTTTCTTTTGTCCTCATGTCGTGGGAGACAGTTGACCACGTTTTATTTTCTGCTTTGTTTAGTACATTTCTGAGTTACTACAGGAGTCCAGAGTCAGGAAGATACAGCAGTGTCCTCGCTGCACTGGGAGTGAGGGGATCTCTCAGGAAACAAGTGAACTTAGAGAGGGCCGGGTGGGGTTTTCCACAGCACGGATTCTGTTTGGATCTCTACTGCTGGAGAGCAGGGTCTACACCTTCATTAATCAAACACTTGCTTCTACTGTGTTTAATGTGAGCTTTATGTTTGCAAAGATACTGCACGGGAGATAGTTCTATGTACGGTTACAAAAGAGTGAAAAATCTAGAATCTTGAGACGTGTGTATATAATCCTGTTGAGGAATTTATCTTTGCCCTACCTTGTTTTCTTTAGGCTAGATGTCAAAATAGAATGTTTTAGTTTCCATAAAATATACCTTTTGGATTTTTACTTATTTATAATAGCACTTTAGTATAAAGCTAGGAGCTAATAACAAGCTTGTTAAAAAAACAACTCTGGGGGCGAGAACTCAGAAACGTTGGGTTAAAATGGAAATTTAAAATGCATTTGTGGACTATTTAATAATTACTCACAATGAGAATATCATATATGAAAATTTATGAGATGAGGCCAAAGTGTCACACAAAGAAACAGTAACAATGATCTACTTTTACTAAATAAACTAGAGTAGAAATAAATGATTTAAGCATTCAACTCAAGTAGCTAAAAAACAAATAGCCAAAAGAACAATAGGAAAGAGAAATAGATAAATCTCGTAATTAATGAATTAAAAATAGAATTAAGAAATCCATAAGTTGGTTCCTTAAAAAGATCAATAAAATAAATAAACTTCTGGCAGAGATAGTAAAGAAAGAAAACATACATTTGGAAATAATGGGAATATAATCATATACTAAGGCAGTTTTTATTTTAATTCTGAGTTTACTCTGTGCTAATAAATTGAACATCTTGATGGAATGGATCATTTTATAGGCAAATATAAATTATCAAAATTGACTGAAGAAGAAAGCCTGAATAGACCAGTTACCAATGGAAGGAATTAAAAGTTATCACAGAACTGTCCCTTCACAAGGTGGTTTTTACAGGTGAGTTTTATCAAACCTTCAAGGAACAGGTCCTTGAGCATTAAAAGAAGAAAATACTTCTTGGTTCATTATTGAAAGAAGCATAACCCTTATACAGGAGTTTGATAAAACAAGAAAGTTTCTAGATCAATCTCATTTATAGAGAAGAACAACTTCTACGTAAGGTATCAGTGTCTTAAATCTAGCAATACCTCAGAAAAATAATACCTGAGCAAACAGGGTTTATTTGAAGATTGAAAAAATGTATTAATATATATTCACCACAGCAGCAGATGAAAGAAGAAAAGCGATTTGATCGTTGCAGTAGGTATCAGAAAGGCTTGATAAAATTTCACCTTCATTCCAGATGTAACTACTAATAGACTAGGTCTAGAAGATCTTGAACGCGATTCACTGTTGAAACCTCAGGATAGGGATGCTGGCCAGCACCGTTGTACTTCAGCAGCATTCTTAGAATTCTGGGTGACGTCGTCACGAAGGATGAAGAAATTAGAACCCTGAATATTGGAAGGGAAGAAGTCTTTCTCCGAATTTGCAGATGACGTTGTCTACATTAGTACCACTTTTCCCTTTCTCATAATAAAACATTTTGTACTCCCTCTTTAGTAACCTGGTGAAATTCATAGACTGCATACCTCACGCGTTGTTTTTGGTCAGCATAATGACCTAGCTCTAATGTAACGGAGCAGTAAACGTAACGGAGACGAAATAAAACCCGTCCTTCAGTACGTAGATGCTTGAGCAGGACACCAGGAGGCAGCCGGAAGCACCCGTGTGCGTGCCACACAGGCTGCCGGGGCAGGTGTGTTATGTTGATGTGTCAAAAAGCGTGAGCAGCGTTGCTGCCAATCATGTCATTTTTTTAAAGGTTTCAAATAAAACAGTACGGTCAATCCTGTTTGTTTAGTTTCCAGATTTGCAGCTCACCTGCTCACTAAAGCCTCTCTGTACTCCCAAATCAATACTTGCAGCGCTTCCTTATCACAGACCTGAATTGCCCGGAGGTATGTTCCTATTTGAGGTCGCACAGGTGACCCCCCTCCTGAGGAAACGGAGACAGCACGGGGCAGCGCAGTGTAGAGCCAGACACTGGCCCCGGGGCCGTTTGGGCAGCTGACCCCTAACCCTGCACTTGTTGGGAGTGGCCTCAGGCGAGTCACTTGACACTTCTGAACTCCTGTTTTCTCTTTTGTAAAATAAGATGGAACCTCCGAGGATGAGTTGTTTGGGGGATTTAAGGTTACAACCCATGTGAGAGGGGGGTGTGTGGGTCCGTGTGTACGCATGTTCCCCGTAGGAGCAATGGTTTAGTATCTGTGGCAACTTTATAGAATATGATTACTACAAATAGTGAGAATTGACTGTATAATATTTCCTCTATTTATATGGTAGTAACGTCTTGTAAAAGTCACTGAATATTAAAATTGCCATAAAAATGATTGGTTTGTGCTGAAACACTGTGCGGTGCTGAAGACTCGGGGACCCTTGCTCTGCAAGGAGAACTGGGGGTTGAGTGTAATCCCTTAAGTCCTTCCTGTGCTCAGACGGGAGACACACACTGTCTGCAGGAGTAATCTGGCTTTAGAACGATGCCGAAATCTGTAGTTTGTCAAGAAAGTGGTTGACACTTAGGTTGAGCTCTTGTAGTTATAAACAAGTTTTTCACCTACATGAATTCCGACAGCACACTTGAAAATTGGCTGGGATTCTTTGTTTTCAGACACCGTCCTGATCATTGCAGTAAATCTTGCTGCCACTGGAACCCCTGAGCCTCTGTGGGAAACAGAGCATGGTCTCCGTGGGGCCGGGACTCTTTTCGAGAACAGTTGATCCATCCCGATGACCTCAGGATCAGTAAAAATCTATTAGAACCAATAAAAGAGAATAGTGGCCATTTGTGAAATGTATATACAAGTCCCAGTGATGGTCCTGTATGTCCTCAGAATTCAGTTACAGAGACGGATGGATGGTGGTGAGGGTTGTCTAGCGATGTGAATGTTCTCAGTGCCACTAAATTGCACACTTAAAAATGGTTAAGATGTTACATTTCGTTACATATTTTGCCACAACAAAAAGATACAATTTAAACGTGTTTAGATTTTCAGTTACAATATTAAGTAAAAAAAAAGATCTCGCTTACAACGGTGACAACATAAAGGAACAGGAATAGATTCCGTAGGAAGCAGACAGAACAGCACCTTCATGGAGAACGGGAGAACCTTGCCCGTAGCCATTGTCTTGCCAAGCTAAGTGCGTGGACTGCAGCTGCCTGCAGGAGTGACGTGCTCTTGGCAGGAAGCGTTGGCTTGGCCCAGTTACTCTAAAATTAAGCTGGAAGAGTAAATTTTCTCGTTTTAAAAGAGCAGTATGGATCCAATGTAAGACTACTGTAAAGTTAAAATAAGTTCGTGCCGTATGGAACACTCTACAGAGTCCAGGAAGCAGACTGACCTAAATGAGCATAGAATGTGAGGGGAGAAACTTAGAAGATGAGGAAAGGATCAACCACTGGGAAAATACAGTTTGATTCCCTGCTGATATCATCTGCCAATATTTGTATCCATTTATTTAATATTAAAAAAAAAGAACACGTGACTGTGATGCAGAGGAGATAGGCCTCTCTCCACTTGGCAGGGTCATAATACGACTACAGGTAATCCAAAGTTTTTGTGTCCACAGCCACCATGAAGTTAATAAGTAAATGACAAACAGGACACTTGCCATAATGGATAGTTACTGACAGAGCATAGCTATATAACCTGGTCTTTCAAATCCACATGAAAGAGATACTCAGCAGCAGAGAAAAATGGGGAAAGAACATGAGTATTTTATTAAAGAGAAAATCCAGTAGACGGTAAATATTCGAGCAAATGTTTTAACTCATTAATAATCCAAGAAAAAAGAATAGAATTTGTCAGTCATCAGTTTGTCAGTGGCACAAAGACATAGAAATACTCACAGTTGCCGAGCATCAGATAGAAACGATCTTCGTTCCCTGTGGGGTGAACACTTCCACCGGAAAGCAGTTTGATAACGTTTATCTAAAGCCTTAAGAACACGCCTTTCATTTTCCTCAGCAATTCTAAGAATTTATTCTCAGGACATAATTAAGGCTCCGCAAAGTGGTTTAGCTGCAAGATTGTTCCTCATGGCACTGTCACATAATAAAAACTGCAAATAACCTGGATTATCCAATAATGAGAAATCAGATCTAGTGGAGCAGTAGTAATCTTTTACCTTTTTAAATGAAAAAGAAGTATTTATACACATATATACAACTGAGATGATTTGTAAATAACATGTTCATAGAAAACAAGTCTATTTTCCCATTGCTAAAAGATAGGACTAAGTCTAAAAAGAGAAAGCACCAAAAGCTACATGGGATCTAGAGATGCTTTAAAATGTTCCGTATTTGATTAGCTGCATTTCTACTTTTTTTGCCCCCACAGAGAATATATTGCTTTTTTAAAATAAGGAAAAACTATATTATAAATGACATATTTAAAAAATGTTAAGGTGGTCTTCGCCCTGTGCTGGGAGTTTTAGCATAGCGGTGGGGGAGTGCGGGCCCTTTGGCCCGCCACACTTCTTGCCCCAGGCAAGTTAATTTCTCTAAACCTCAGTTGCCTCCACTGTAAAGACCAGGGGTACGAACAACACTGTGTTAGTCTATGCAGCCATTACAATGATTCAAGGAAATAATTCATGTAAAAGGATGGCCGGGCAGCGCCCAGCACAGGAAGTACTCGGCGTGGCGGCAACAATATTGATCATCGAAGTTGCTGCTGAACGTGTGGAGGGTGACTGCTTGATGTGACGGATTATCTCTGATTACATCTTTCATGCTGTTTGTACTCTCGGTCAGTTTTCCTACATTGGTAAAGTGGAGCAAGATGGGTCTGTTTCTTAACTCCTATGACCAAACTGTTCCTGCTGATTGTTCTAGTATGAACCCTCATTCTGATCCATCTGTGTAAGTGAGGGCCTGGCCCCAGCCCTGCACCACCAGTGTTCTGTTACAGCAGCTTCCCTCTCAACTCTTAACCCCAACCTACGGTTGTTGACTGATCCCTTTGTTTACTTTTTTATTATTCATGTCCTCCTTTGGGCTCTAAACGCAGTGTGGTGCCCAGTATTTAACTCTGACAGGCCCCTAGTAAGTATTCATAGAACTGGTAAGTTGTTACAGATTGGACTTGCTGGGCTCTGGGCCTTTGTATCATGAAGATGTGCAGACATTTGGACTAAGACATCATTAAGATGGTCATTACAACAAAAGTGGGCATTTAGGTTAAATAATTTCCTTTGACTCTCAAAAATGTACAGTACAGAAAACAACTTCTACTTAAGTTCCCATTAAGTTAAAATTTTTTTTGAAAGAGTTTTTTGGTAAGCAGATGACACTTCCAAGGATATCAAATTTATGACAGTTTTCCTTTTTATGAGCAAAATGTATTCCAGGTAGCACTTAAAAATTTTATAGGCCTTCAGACTATGAATACTTAATGAATTATGTATATTATTTTATATTTGGCTTCATTCTCTCAGGTTCACAGTTAATAGAAGAATCTCTATAGTCGGATTTGGTTTGTATGGATCTATCCACGGACCCACGGATTATCAAGTGAATATACAGGTACAGTTCTTCCTCACTGTTTATCATCTTGAAATACAACAAATGTAATTTTATAGTAAGATCTCATTTTGACAAAGTCAAATTTCAGTATAGTTCTCAAAGGCATCAGAAGGCCTAGAGAGTTCTGTCTTACAACCGATGAAAAGCAGTTTCAGAGAATTGGGACTCCTGGGGTCCTTCACAGAAGCATTAGCACACAAGGAGCCTCCCTTCTCCAGGAAACCCCTTCTGTCACTCCCTTCTGCTGCGCATTGACTGTCTAAAAACATCTGTAGGCTGTTTTTCCTGGCACTTTGAACTCTAGGGCTTGAAACGGTCTAATTTTTCAAAACTACTGTGAAACACCTTCTGATTTCCAGTTGTCTGACTATATACCCTGCCTTAGTCTTTAGATCTGTTCCACCTCAGCTCTTAATCGGGAAGAACGTTAAATACCTCTCTCATTCCCTTCAGTAGACCAGTATTCTCCCACTATTTTGAGAGTCCACCCCAGTTAGTAAAATTTTTTTTGAAACATGTCTGTGCTGGACTTGTATTTACAAGCTGTACATATACAATACTGTGCTTCTATAGTAAAACACAAAGAATAGAAAAGGAAGTAAACACTTTCAAACTTTTATCCGTAGAAAAACACTGCCTTCTCTAAAACGTTAATATTTTATTTTAATGTTTTTATTTATTTTTGAGACCGAGAGAGACAGAGCATGAACGGGGAAGGGGCAGAGAGAGAGGGAGACACAGAATCGGAAGCAGGCTCCAGGCTCTGAGCGGTCAGTGCA